GTATTTGCAGTACTATTCCAAAAGTCTACCTTGCTACTGCAGGAAATGTTATAATATCTCACATTCGATTTCTTCTTTCGTCAATTAGTAAGCGCAATTGATCGTCAGTCCACATCACGACAGTCTATCGAACCTGCTAAATTTGTTTATATTAACTTAAAACAGTTTGGCTCTTTTATGTATGCAGTATTTTGTTGTATAGTACATTCAACAATGTCAGTAATAACCATAATAAAAAATAATAAAAGATATAAAAAGAAAAATCAAAGAAACAGCAACTAAAGCAATAAGCTATAATTACTGTATTAACACTAATTTTCACACTAATTATATACCATTAATCCTTGATTTGTTGAAACCAAGTTTGCATCTCGCAATGCCGAGAAATGTGAGTCATATGATTAGTGTCACGCTTTCACTTTTTCACAAACACCCTAGTATTGAATGCCATTCGTTGTCATGTCATGGTCAAAGTTCATTATTTGTGATACTAAAGTAAAGATTAATCACTTGACAATACTTGTGTGCTTATTTACTATTACAATGGGGATAAAGAAAAATATAATGATCAAATAATGCACACATTAAGAAAATCCTTGCTTTTTTCCTTGTTATTATTTTTTTATCGCAGAACAGTAAAATTTCTAATTACGCTATGTTTCTTTATTTACTTATCAACATCCTCTCGGATTTATAAACATTGAACTTCTCCGAACGTTAAACAGGAAGACCATGTGTGATACTGTAGTAATTTTTTAAAGTAGAGAATTTGGGAGATCGGCAGTTTATTTTTTTTGTTCCAAAATAGGATATCGGTATGTATGTTTGACAAGTTTAAATTTATCATTTTTGTTCCAAAAAAGATGTCAATATGGATGTTTGACAAAAGCTTAAATTTTTAATTTATATGTAAAGTACAGTATGCAGAAGAACAATTTTTTGTATTTATCTTTCAAAAAAAAAAATAAATATGAAAAAATCTCGACCAGTCCCAGGTATGTTACTACAAAATTATATATTCCGCGATGATAAAAGTATATATGATTCACGAGAGCATGAAGATGAGAATGTAAATATAGCCTTAGAAAGATATGTCGACAAATTGTATAAAGGGTATTCGGATGTCTTTCACTCGATGTCATGAATTTTTAACGTAGGATTTTCATCCTTAATAGGAGTTTAAATCTGCGAATTTCAATTACGCTGATAAATTAATTAATAATTAAGCTTCATATAGAACAATAAATGTTATTATGACTTGATGTTTTGATGAAATTATATCATTATGCTAATATTAAATTAATGTGACGTGAAAATTATAATTAGTAAATCCTCTTATGTCTGTCGATCAAGGTTCAAGATCTGTTAACGAAAATGTCATAAACTCAATCACTCCCCACAACCCAATTAATTGCACCGGCAACCTTAACTCTTCCGACGATTCTGTGAACGAAGAACGTTCTAATCCGCCTAATGAAGAGTTAAAAAATATCGGAAAAAGAAATTTGAATATAAATTCGAATCAAAATAATTGCACCAATAATCTTAAAGTTACTTCAAATGATTTTATAAGAGCAGAAAGTTTGGATGCCATTTTAGACATATATGATGATCTGGACCTTTGTAACAAAATTTCCAATTTTTATCGTTTAATTGATTTGTGCAAAGGTACGGGATCTGTCGGATTTCGTATGGTTTATTTATTTCCACAAATAATCAATAGTAAACATTTAACTAATTTTTTTTTTTAATTTAGCAACTGACAAGATCACCATATCCCAAGAATTCTTGAGGAAACTTTGCAACGATATGGTACCAAACAGCTTTAAATCAATTTCTGAAATTAATTACTCTTCTTTGAATTCGAGATCACTTGGCTTTGTCGGAATTTATGGAAATCGTGAAACTATCGCAAGATATTTACTAAAAAAGAATGCGATCGATGAAAGAATGTTCGTTCATTCATATACTATAAAATATTTTTTTTAGTCTTGATTTAATGGAATTACTTACGTGAATTCGTTTCAGTCATGATCTGCTTATGACGAATGATGATGAGAATTCCGGATCAATGTGTCCCCATCTCAAACCTGGAATTTATCTCCTAGTTGAAAATGAATATGGTTTTGTTATTCATTGGCCTGAAAAAGGTTGCTATA